AGATTATTGCTTTACCAGAGCCAGTTTTACCCCAAAACCCCAAAACCCCATAGTATTTGACATTGAGATATAACGTATATGAATTATAAAATCAAGAGGATAAGTTAATTAGCATTTGTCTAATTGGATCAAAATAGGCGTGTTTCATTGCTTGAGTGGGAGTGATTCTTAGATTTTTATCATAGACTAGCATCTACCTTAGCAAGTCAAAACCTGATTCACTGCAGAGATGCTGATTGTCTTTGGTAATGAACTCTTCTAGGTATTTAATTGGGTAATTCTTCATTTTCTTGTCGACTTTTGGAGGAAGCGATAATTTATACTTTCTTAAATAATCTACTAGATCTTCTGTACCCATGACTTATGCGATTTTCAAGAGTTAATCATCATTATCGCTTCCCTTGAAGAATGGATCTATCTTGAGCATCATTCCAGCCATTGTACACCCAAGTGACCACATATCTAGACTATAGTGATACAATTTATCTTCAACTAGTAGCTCTGGGCCCTTATAGTACCTAGATGCTACCCTGACATTATACTCTTAACCCTCTTTATAATAATCAGCTAGTCCCCAATCAATTAACCTTAGTTCTTTTTTGTCATGATTGATGACTATATTCAATGGCTTAAGATCCCTGTGCATGATGCCATGTTTGTGGGAATACTCCAGAGCTTCGCACAACTTATATAGATAGAATCTGACATCCATGTCTGAAAGCCTCTAAAACAAGATCTTTGACTCAATATTAGGGATGAACTCATAAATTAGACTAGGTGTATTACTGACAGAGTCTTTAACGACATCGTAAAGCTTTACTATATTTGGTCCTCCGAACAAAGTCTAAAGAATCTTTATCTCTCTGAAGATCTTCTCTGTTCTCACAGGCTTCAGTATTTTAACTACACATTTCTGATTGTTTCTCAAATTCACACCCTCATAAACCTCGGAGTACTTGCCACGCCCTAATTTATGAACTACTTAGTAGTCTTCTTAGTCTCCCCAGTTGATGTCTAGGGTTTGATACCAAGAGTAATCATGAGGACGAGTTTTACACACATCGTTGTAGTAGGTCATCCAAGGATTAGCAAGTGAAGAAATCATTTTGTTTTTTTATTATTAATATGCCTTAAACTTAACTATTGTTAGTATTGCTGTTGTAACTATTTTATTAATTAAATTCAAATTATAACAATAAAAAATGAATTAAGCTTATTCTCATTCACCTTTGAGGTTGAACTAAAACATAGTAAATAGAAATTAATCTCGAACTCAAAACAATCTATTGAATCAGGGATACAAACCAAACACCTATCAAATTAATGGGAACAATTAAAATATCAATGAATCTTATATACACAACTATAATGAAACTAGAAGTGTCTAAGGCAATGAGAATTCGCAATATAATAACAGAAGCATTGGAATGAAACTTGACGAATGATCCAATACACAGCAATCAGAAAATTATCCTATAAGGATTAAGTAAAGCAATATTAATAAAGAGGGGAGAACTGGCTTAGACAACATTTAAGCAGTAGTAAATACTCATGCAAGTCAGCAATACCTATCACCCTCATTTGCAGGGTTGATGCATAGAGGAAACACTGGAGTTGAAAATAAATCTGATTACAATTCAAGGTAAAGTAATAAGCCATCAAGTTTGTAAAGAGAATCAATTACCCCTAACAGCAAACAAAATGATTCTTCAACTCATCATATTCTTAGAACAAATGATTATTCATAATCTAGGAGTGCTGCTCATTAGTAGAATGGCATAATACTGTAGGACAAAATAATGAATCTGAAGTCTGCTCTCTCAAACATAAAGAATAACATAAATGTATTCAAGACTAGGTAAACCACATCAGCCTCACCCATTAATAGTCATGACATCAAAAATAATACTTTAAGAATTAAGCAGTCACATCTGAATGCGACTATCGCAGGCGAGAATACAATCGAACCTTATAATAAGTATCGAATGGATGGCTACTCTTAGGGATCAATAGAAAGATAGAACACGATATCCGGAAATAACTCTTATGTAAACACTTAATTAACAACAAACTTGTTTAATAAATCATATGATTAGACATAGAATTTTCAGTAAAACTCAATGGAATCTGCTATAAATCTATTTGATAATAGTCCTCTATAACGAAATAATCAAATCAGTAATAGTATCTCACGGCAGGGAAATCCAAGTGCGAATAATATGAATGATAGAAGTTTTAATAAATAAGATAACTACTAGCATTAAATTAAACAGCACACCCCTATTCAATCACAAAACAAAACTCATTTATATAATCGATTCGATCAGAACTATAACGAAGATCGTTCGCATTCAGATGATACATTGAAATAAGTGACAGACAAGATGACTTAAATGAATTATAAAGGGGAGAGACTTTTGCAGCAAGTTAAGCAAGTGTAAAATAACTAATAAGCTCCTACTTTCAATCAAAACTCAATGATGAATATTCATGTGCTCAATAAAAATGACCTTTCAAGATAGAGAGATGACTCACTCTCCAACTAATAAATGCATGCTTAGTCTTTTAAGCGGGAATTCAGAAATATCAAATTGGATGAATCAAATTTGCACTCTAATAGAGAGAATGACAAGTAATATTAGAGATGGGATAATGATAAAAACATGAATGATACTGAAAAACTAATCAATCTTTAGGGAGCAGAGGTTGATGTTAGCATTTCAAAAAGAGATTCTTCGCATTCAGACTTCACTAATAAAGTTCAGGAATTCGTTAATTAGTCGTTAATTCAAGAAGATGATTAGCAAACATTTCATAATCAAAATAACTCAAATTTTGTTAATAACTACATAGATGACGGCTAAAGGTAGTATGATAATATAAAGAGACCTACTAAATCAAGTAATAGTTTCTATGACTCTAAAGGGGAAACTGAGAAAAAAGAACTATACAAAAAGATTAGCAGTCTTGAAACTGAAAATCTCATCCTTGAAAATCAAATTTAGGATATAAATTAGAGACTTGAAAATTAACTTAGAAAGGATGGAGTCCAATAATCAGAGATAAAACAACTTGAATAGAAAATTAATGATTAGGAGAGAGATATAAATCTCCTAAGATCAGATAAACTTGATCTGATCGACTAATTTAAAAGATTGGAAAATGATAGAGAATAACTAAATAAAACTTACTAGTCAATGGAAAATAAGCATCATCGCAAGGAGATATATTTGAGTGGATTAGAAAGATAAGTATAGAAGCTGAAAGAGGAAATACATTTGCAGAAGTATGTGCATAAAAATAAAGAAGGAGAGAATCTGATGCTACTTAGAATGAAGGAATCTGAGAACTAGTTAGAGAGGCTTAGACAAGATGCCTTGCAGATGAGAAATATCATAATTGATAAGGATAGAATAATTAATGAGTATGAAAATAAAGTTAATGAATTAATGAACTAGAATTAACTGCAAATGTAAACCTATAATGAGCTTGCTAAGCAAATTACGACTCCCGGATTTAGTTTCACAGAAAAAGAGCATAACAGAAGATCTTCATTTAGAAATAAGTCTGTTGATTATAGTGGATTGAATGGAAGTTTTGAAGGTTAAATCAATCAAAGCGTTTCAGGATATATAAAGAAGCATCAAACTATTAGTAACCATGATGCTAGCAACAGTAGTGCTTAAGCATTTAATGTCGTTCAAGACATCTTAAAACTTATGGGCTGTAATACATTTTAAGATCTTATTCATAAGCAAAAGAGTATGGCTAAAGAGAAGAAGTTCTGTCATAAAGTAATTAAGTTAGTGAGAGATGTCGAAGGTAAAAAGCCTGATTCACTCAAGAATTGCTGGTAATGGATAAAGGGACTACTATAAGATTTTGTCAACTTAAAGAAGAGCGCGCACGATTAAACTAGAGTTCTAAAAAAAATCGAATTATGTTTTAGCGCCTAAAATTAGCACGCATATACTTAAAACATGAACACTTCCTAACTAATGAACTTAGCTGAATAAAATGATTATATTTCAGGCTACAATACAAGAGATTTCAACTTAAATTAAGCTGGTATATTCTCAGGGGGAAGTATAGAAAAATCTAACAGTAATTATTACTAGGCCCCATCATCAACTTATACTCCAACAAGTAATTCAAATGTAAACATCTTGGATATTTATAGTGGTAAGGAGCTAAATACTCTAGAGACTGCCATAGATAATAAACTAAGGACTTTCAGGAAATACTAATGAAACACCCAAAATATACAATAAAAATGAATGAAAATTCAAAATTCTTAATTTTAGAATGTCTATAGATTTATGAACTCAGTTTAAATGGGGTTTTGGGGTTTTGGGGTTTTGGGG